TTCTGCCTGCCTCTGTCTCCCAAGTACTGGGATTAAAGGCACTCGCCAAAATGGCCAGTCTAGCCTTTAAATTTTTTATTTGATGTTTTTGAGTGTATTGTCCACCTGTATATAAATGCACCCACACGAGCAAGGCCCACAGCGGGCCTTTGATATCCACAAAGGAGGATATCAAATCCCCTGGACCTGGAGTTATAGTTGTTAGCTGTCATGTGGGTGCTGGGATCTGAACCCTGATCCTTTACAAAAGTAGCCAGTAATCCATGCTTCAACCACAGTCCTCCCAGGAGCTGTTCTCTGATGTGGACATCTGTCCTCAGGGTCTTCCCAGCCTCTTGTTGCAGGAGCTAAGTGGTAATGACCATTGGTAATGACCATAGACTAGAGGGGTTCACTCAAGGTGGTCAGGGCTGGGGACCCAAAAACAACTGCAAGAGCTTCACAATCTTGGGGTCCACACTCTGGGCACATGATGAATAGAGAGTCTGACCCCATCTTAGCATGGTCAGGATGGTCTCCCTTGAGGGAGCCAGGGCCTAAGATGAAGAACTAAAAGCTTGTGTGTAGAAATAGCAGGGTAGAGCAAACAAGGAAGAGTGATTGGTGAGGATAACAGACAAGGCCAGCAAGATGGCAGCCACCCGAGCAGAGAACAGGTGAGGAACAGGCAGCAGCAGGCCAGGCACGAAAGCCTCTGGCCAGCCTTCAGTGAGGCCTGTGGACTCTGAAGGTGCGCCCCAAGCAGGGAGACTGACAGAGCCCTCCTACTGCTCCGTAGCAAAGACCCTAAAGAAATCCCCTGGAGCTCTATTGGAAGTCCCTACGTGGTAGAGTCCACAGGCATGTACCTGTCCTTAGAGGCAGCTTCGGTAAGTGCAGATGAGGTGCCCAGGGCTGGCTGGGGAGAGGGAGTGGTAGTGCTTGGAAGCCCCTAACCCCTATGCTCTATCCCTAGGCACACATCTCAGCCGGTGCCCATCGTGTAGTGGTCACTGCGCCCTCCCCTGATGCACCCATGTTGGTCATGGGTGTGAATGAGAAGGATTATAACCCTGGCTCTATGAACATTGTCAGGTACCAGGGATGTCATCCTCAAGTGGGACACGTCAGCCTGTGGCACAGGGAGCAGACATCCTCCCAAACCCAGTCCTACAAGATCCTGGAGTTTCACATCAACTTGCTCCCATGGTTCCATCCTTAAGTCTCAAAAGCCATTGTGTCACTATCACCCTGAAATGATTAATAATGCTCAGTCTCAGCAGGCCATGCCTAGGAAGCATCGTAGCAGCACCTCCAGTAGTCCCTTCAGGTATCCCCAGTGAGCGATCCTGCCCCATCCTCACATCTCACAAAACCAGACCTAAGTAAAGGTAAGGGTGGAGGGCTGGCTTTGCCACTCGTCTCAATGTGCCCTGGCACATCTGGCTGTTTCAGTAACGCATCCTGCACCACCAACTGCCTGGCACCCCTTGCCAAGGTCATCCATGAACACTTTGGGATTGTGGAAGGGCTGATGGTGAGTTGGGGCAGAGGATGGCAGAGAACCCCTCTTGTTCCTAGGCCTTGTAGTGCATGGAGTTAGGAGAGTGGTTTGGGGAGGAGGCCCACCAGCAGAGAAGCCTTTTGAAATACTGTGGCATGGGTAGGCCCTAGCTTTTGAGTGCCCCTCCTGTGGTGTGCCCTGTCAGCCTCCACACCTATGCCACCTCCCCAAGTCCCAGGAGAAAGACATAGGATCTTAAGATCAGGAAGGTCTCATCTTGGCCTTCCTGTTCCCCAAGACCACAGTCCATTCCTATACGGCCACCCAGAAGACAGTGGACGGGCCATCAAAGAAGGACTGGCGAGGTGGACGTGGTGCCCACCAGAACATCATCCCATCTTCCACTGGGGCTGCCAGTGCTGTGGGCAAAGTCATCCCAGAACTCAAAGGGTATGAGGACAGAAAGCTGCAACCAGGGTGGGGACATACCCTAGGTGGATCTCACTATCCCCAACCCTTAAAGGAAAGTCCCAAGGCAAGGGGAGAATGGACACAGTCCCTGAGTTCTGACTCCCACCCCTATTGTGGAATTCTTCAGGAAGCTAACAGGAATGGCATTCCGCGTACCAACCCCCAATGTGTCTGTTGTGGATCTTACCTGCCGCCTGGCCCAGGCTGCCTCCTACTCAGCCATCAAGGACGCTGTAAAAGCAGCAGCTAAGGGCCCCATGGCTGGCATCCTTGCCTACACAGAAGACCAGGTAGGGCTGAGGAAAGCTTGCCAGGGGCCCTCAGGGAAGGGGTGTGGTTTCCTCTTGCCTGGGAGCTGTTCTGCATGGACTAAGATAGTAACTGCAGGCCAAGGAAAGTACAGCTCCCTACCCCAGCATCTTGGCACTTGCTGCTGTTTTCAGCTAGAACATTTCTTCCTCCTGCATTCATTCCAAGCCTCTGCTTTACACACACCCCCTTCTGCAAGGTCTCCTAACAACGCTGTGTTTGTGGCCTTTTTCCTCACAACAGTGACCAGAAGCTACTCTTGGAACCCTTAACACATCCAAGAAAGCAGCCATTTAAGAGTTAAGTTCTTGATTCTGTAGATTCAGCCATCTGCCTAGGGCCTGGCGGGTAAAGCTGGTGCTGCGTACACACTTAGATAACAAAATAGATCAGTTCTCTTTTGAGACAGGATCTCCCTAGGTAGACCAGGGTGGCCTCCAGCTCACAGAAATTCACATGTCTCTGCTTCAAGAGTTCTGGGATTAAAGTTGTGTGCCACCACACCAGGTCAGTTCTGTTTTTTGCAGTGCCTGCCTAGGGCCAGGCCAGGTCAGGCACCTTTCCTGGGTGCAGATGTCACCCTAAATGCCATCTCTCTGCTTCCATCTTGGTGAAGGAGCATTGCCTCAGCTCCTGCAGGTCCAATCTCACACAAGTGTTATCTGAACAGGTCAGATCAAATCAGCCCAATGCTGAAAACCTGCCCATGCCCTTCTACCACCAGGGCTACAACCCTCAAGGTCTGTGTCTGCAGTTCCTTCTCCATAGACCCTGTTCATAAGGCCAGAATCATGCCATCCAGTGCCTGAATGTGATGTAGGTATAGCAATAAGACCTTGTGATGTGTCTTTTTTTCTTCTTGTGTGTATGTATATGGTGTGCGCTTCTTACATGTATGGACACGGGGAGCACATGTTCATGCAGGTACACATAAGTGCACTGGTATGTGTATATGTGTGAAGGCACAAAGTTGACAACACCTCTTCCTCCACTGCTCTCTTAATTACTGAGGCAGGGTCTCTCACTGAACCTGGAGCTTACCAATTCTGACTAGTCGAGGTAGCCATCTTGCCCAAGAGGATCCTCCGTCTCTGCTCTGGGAGTGCAGCGTTACTAGTGGCCCACACCTGCGTGAGTTTTACGTGGGTCCTAAGAGTCCAAACTCGGGTCCTGAGGCCTAAGCAGCAAGCACTTTCAACCACTGAAACGATCTCCCCTGTCCGTGTTCTTTCCACAGTCCCATTCCGGAAGAATGCCCATCTGCCTTGGTCACTTCCTATCTCTAGATACAACAGAATTCCATCAAACACCACACATGAATGGATGGACAATGTGGTACAGCCGGAGTCGGAGCCCCGGAGCTCCTTCCTCTGCTATGCTTATCTTTGAAATTCTGTCACCTAGGTGGTCTCCACAGACTTTATCGGCGATCCCCACTCGTCCATCTTCGATGCCAGGGCTGGCATTGCTCTCAACGACAACTTCGTGAAGCTCGTTTCCTGGTAAAGGATGGAAAGGACCGGAGGACTGTGGGGGGAAACTGGTGAGGTGGTTGTGGGGGGCTCGCCTGACGCCTCCTTCCTTCCCTCCCAAGGTACGACAACGAATATGGCTACAGTAACCGGGTGGTCGACCTCCTACGCTACATGTTCAGCCGAGACAAATAAAGCGGAAAGGCCCCTCCTGTTTCCCCGCCCACCCCGCGTTCCTGCCCTCAGCTGCGCCTGGAAGGAGGGTGCGGGGCACTAGGGTCTTGCGCCGCTGCCCCAGGTCAACCAGGAAATAAAAACCATAGTGCGCGCACAGCTGCACCCGCGTGTCTCTACGCCCGTCTCCGTGGTTCGGGGCCGGGTTCAAGGTTCGTGGCAAAGGCGAGTGGTGGCGCTTGGCTCCAAGCCGAGTGCCGTTTTAGGAAAAATAATCACACCGCAGGCGTAGAGGCCAGATGTAATGCGAAAGGGATCCGGGACAGCACATCTCTGGAAACCAGGTAGCGGCGGTCGGTTGCGGGCGCTCTGACGTCACGACGTGCGACGCACGGGGCCAGAACTACAGTTCCCAGAAGGCCGCGCGCGGGTCAAGGCAATCAGGTGGGCTCCAGGCCCCTGTCGGGCTAGAGCGCCGGCGGCGAAGCCTAAACCCAAACCCCGAGGAGACGCCGCCTGGCGAATCCCGCTCAGGCGGGACGAGGCTGCCAGCGTCATGACTCTGTTCCACTTCGGGAACTGCTTCGCCCTCGCCTACTTCCCCTATTTCATCACGTACAAGTGCAGCGGCCTGTGAGTGCGGGGCGCGCGCGGGGGTGGAAGAGGGTGCAGGGCCCGAACTGACCCCTCATCGCCCGCTTCTCCAGGTCTGAGTACAACGCCTTCTGGAAATGCGTCCAGGCTGGAGTCACCTACCTCTTTGTGCAGCTATGCAAGGTGAGGGACGCCGGAACTCCACGTGTTTGGCCTCCAGGCTTTCCAAAACCCCAGGAGTCGGGCTCTGCGGCTGTCGCCCACCTTGGGACCGCCCTCTAGACGCATAGGGACTGTGCCCCCATACCCTAGAAGGGGTGGAACCCCAGGAGAGTCCTTGCTGCTACTCTTTCTTAGCACTTTTGTAAAACTGAGAAAAGCCCTGTTGTAGTGTTGACTAAACCATAATTCACCCACAGAGTGTCGTATGGTGCTGCCTACACTACCCACGCAGTCATCCGGCATCTCAGAATCCCCTGCAAACATCCAGCCCCTGTGGAAACCAAGCACCTGCCCTACATCGCCCTAATTTCTGTGATCTTGCCACATGCTCCCTGAAGGACCCCCTAGAACCCAGGATCTTGCCCTCTGCTTGCACACTAACTCCTCACAGTGTCCACGTGGCCTGCTTCTTCAGATGACCTTTCTGCTCTCTATTCTTAGATGCTGTTCTTGGCTACTTTCTTCCCCACCTGGGAAGGTGGCATCTATGACTTCATTGGGGTGAGTGGGACAAGGGAGGGGCAGGGAGTGTAGGTGGGGGGCCCATCTAGTCCCTGTGTTTACTCAAGCCTCAACCTGACCCACAGGAGTTCATGAAGGCCAGCGTGGATGTGGCAGACCTGATAGGCCTAAACCTTGTCATGTCCCGGAATGCAGGCAAGGGGGAGTACAAGATCATGGTTGCTGCCCTGGGCTGGGCCACCGCCGAGCTCATTATGTCCCGGTGTGTGGAGCAACCTGGAGCCCAGACTCCTGGGACAGGACACTTGGGCTCCATAGGGGTGCTGGAGGGTGGAGCTCAGAGTCTGGGTGCTTGAGGGGGTCTTGGTACCAGAGACTGTCTCCCTTTGCCTTCCTCAGCTGCATCCCCCTCTGGGTGGGAGCCCGGGGCATTGAATTTGACTGGAAATACATCCAGATGAGCATCGATTCCAATATCAGTCTGGTATGCAGTCCTGCCCCCACCCCACCTTTGTGCTGGCAGCCATACTTCTCCACAAGACTTAGCCTTGGCTGCAACTTCCACTGCCCTCCCGTCTCCCTGCAGGTCCACTACATTGTGGCATCTGCCCAAGTCTGGATGATAACACGTTATGACCTGTACCACACCTTCCGGCCAGCTGTCCTCCTCTTGATGTTCCTTAGTGTCTACAAGGCCTTTGTCATGGAGTGAGCTGGGTGGGGTTTGAGGCTGGGTCCACATGGGGGTGGGTTTTCTCTTCTCCCTTCCTCATTGTGATTTTCCCCGCAGGACTTTCGTCCACCTCTGCTCACTGGGAAGCTGGACAGCCCTACTGGCCCGAGCAGTAGTGACAGGGCTGCTGGCCCTCAGCACTTTGGCCCTGTATGTTGCTGTTGTCAATGTGCACTCCTAGCTTGGTGTCCCAGGTGTTGGCAGACCTTTCTGCTGCCTCTCTCCAGATTTTAGTGAAGTAAACAGTATTTGGAAAGTTGTTTGTGCCTCCTTTTCTCTCTCAGAAACTGGATCCCTGGCCCACCTAGGTCCCACAGAGCCTCATTCTGGCTTATGGAACCAGGTAGACAAGCCAGCGTCCTGGCCAGCCTTCCTGGAACAGCTTGTCACCCTTTTGTTTTCCAACCAGAGGCTGGCAGCTTGATAATCTCTGAACAACGATCTTTGAACAGGCTAGGGCACGGACAACTAGAATCTAGGATAAAGGTTTGGGGGTTCCTCCTCCTCTCCTCACAGCTTGGCCTGAGCCCTCTTCCACATGGGCCTTTCTTAGGCTGGCTACCTCCAAGGCTGCAGTCTTCCCTTTCCCCATTCTGATCCATCCTCTGTAACAGAGCTAGGGGGATCAGCTTGAAACCTAACTAGGTCACCATCCCCAGCTTACAGTCCTCTGTGGTGCTTCGTTGTACAGTAGACAGTGACCTTTGGCTTTACCCTTGATCTCTTGAGAGCCACTCCTTAAGATGATCTGCCTAGTCAAATTCCTAATGTCCTTCAAGTCTTACAGGGCCACAATGAAAATATAGATTTGAGTCTGAGCTTCTCCATGCTGTGTCTCAGTTCTGTGGCCTCAGACTAAATCCTGTCCTGGGTCTTCTCAAGGTGGGGTTCAGGGTCAGCTACAGCCAAATAGCAGGTGAGCTCACCAACTTGGATATTGTCCTGGATGCCAGGCTCCACCATTGTGACCCTGCCTTTCCTTGGCCAATTGAACTAGCATTTCGCTGGATCCACTCCCTCTTCCTGGGAGGCATGTGTCAGAACCAGGACCTAGAATGCTTTTTTTTTTTTTTTTTGGTCTTTTTGAGACAGGGTCTCCCTGTAGCCCCAGCTGCCCTGGAACTTTCTATGTAGACCAGGCTGGCCTTGAACTCACAGAGATCCGCCTATCTCTGCCTCCCAAGTGCTGGGATTAAAGGTGTGTGCTACCGTGCCCGGCTACTTAGAATGCTTTTTGTTTATTTATTTTTTTATTGTAGTACGAGAATATTGCCTGTTTGTATGTAAGTGCACCCATGTTGTCCAAAGCCTGTAGAGGTCAGAAAAGGACCTTGGATTCCCCCGGAACTGGAGTTAGGGACAATTGTTAGTCACCAGGTGCCGGTGCCAGCCGTCCAAAACGGACAGTACCTGAAAGGGGGAGTGAGGATTGATAGAAAAAAAGGAGACAGAAAAAGGGGCTCACAGTGAATACTGCCAGCCTCTATTTATTTCAGTTCTGTCTTTATACAGAAGAACTCAATTAGTTACAATTGCTGTATTTCCCCACCTGTATCTGAGGGTCAGGGAGCTGGTCAGATCAAAGGCTTCTTGGATCCTTTTGTTTACCACTAATGCCTCAAGGTCAGGTATTGTGAGGCTCTCCAGAAAACTTCTTCCTCCTGAATGGGCAGGTTAAGTACTGGTTTGCATGACACAAACTCAGTAAATGAGGCTGCCAACAGCTCAATGATTAGCAGCTCCCGACAACCTTGTGGGTGCTAGGAATCGAACCTGGGTCTTCTGCAAGAACAGCCAGTGCTCTTAACTGCTGAGCCATCTCTCCAGCCCCTTGAATGTTTCCTTTAAGCTTTATCTAGATGTCAACCCTGCCCCCCTAAGAAGGTGCTCCTCCTCAGACTTGGTCTTTCTACTAGGGCCCCCAGAGAATAAGAATTGTCCCATCCCACCTTCACCAGGCTGTCCAGATCCCATATATTGGTTCTACCTCTGTCCTAGGAAAGGCCAGCTCTCTTACACTGAGCACTGAGCTGTGACAGTCTTTCCAGAGAGCACATCTTTCTTTAGATGGGGGATCCTCCAGCCTTCTTCAGTACCCTGAGTAAATGGACAGGAAGGACCTTGCATGCCCACCTGTCTGTGGAGGTGTATTGAGGTCACTTTTTCCCACACTTCCATCTCATGACCTGCCTGTCCCTTCACATGTTGCTACAAGTGAAGGTAGCAATAGCTACTTTAACTCCATCATCTTAAATGTCAAGGGGACAGACTAGGGTGGTTATGCTGAAGATATGACATGAAGAGATGACAGAATTATCAGGGCCCTAATCCTGGGCTGTTACAGTGTGTTACAGATCAGGCTACAGTCAGGACTTGGGGAAGGACAGTTTATGGGGACACAGAGTAGTTGCTTTACCCAGCCTGGAGGGAGAGTGGGCTCAGAGAAGGATGAGCCAACTGAGGTCTGAAGGTAGTTCCAGTCAGTGGAACAAGCAGAGAAAGGGAAATGTCAAAGCAGATGTACAGGTCTGGGGTCAGAATGATGGCCCATTTTTAAGCATCAAACTGATTTTGGTTCAGCAGGGCTTTGAGACTCAGTAGCAGGGATCAGATCTGATGGCTGGCTAGGGTGTTGACCTGGGCAATAGGGGATTCTAGGCAGGAATAGACAGGGTCAGTTTGAGTTTTTTGGAAGCTGTGCATAGTGGTTTTATGAAAAGGGTGGCAAGCCCAGGCCAGAGTAGAACAGCATGTAGGCAGGAGTAGGAAAATACTTTGAAGCTGAGGGCTGAGATGGTGGCAACCAGTGAGCTAGACTGTTTGTTTCTAATTGGTCAGCAGGAAGGGGGAGGGTGGGGGGGATGGGTAGGGAGGTGACAGATTAAGCAAGGGGGCAGGAGTCCCAAATAGCCCTCATTTGGGGCTTGGGAGCTCCCCCAGAGCACCCCACACTTATAGGGAAAAGATCCATTCTGCTGTCAGATTGGACAGCAAACGGGAGCAGATTTGGGGGTGATGCAAAGGCCACTGTCACCTCAGACCCAGTAGCAGAGGCTAGAATCATGAGCATCATGGCAGAGGAACACTGAAGTCCTCAGGGTCAGGAGGGTGGGGGACAGGGGGCAGGGGAGGGGAGTTGGGTCAGGCAGGATAGGAAGAAGCCCAGGCTCAGCCAGAGAAGCTCCTAATAAAGGAAGAAAGCTGTGCAGAGGCCACCTGGAGGGGAGTGGCCGGAGGGATA